TATATATATACACTTTTTATGCTAAGGGATAAAATTATACTAAGTATACTTTTTATATTAAGGGATGTGTGTGTTTATATACTCATACACACATTTACATATGTACACACATGTATACTTTCTATATACAGTATATAAGTAGTAGCAAAATTCTAGTTTGGATACTGTATATGGATACACACTTTATATACTGTATATACACATACTTTTTATACTGTATCTAGAAAGTATATATACACAGACACAGTATCCAAACTAGAGTTTTATCTACTACATATACATAGAGCCTATGATGTGTATGTGTGTGTTTGTGTGTACACAGTCATGCACCACGTAACAGTGTTTCCGCCAACAATGCACTGCGTGTACAATGGGGGGCCCATATGACTATAGGAACCTGGAACATTCTTATCGCCCAGTGACATGTAGGCATCATAACATCTTAGCGGGACACATACCTTATGTGTTTGTGACATGCTGGTGTATGTATACAAACCTACTGCACGGCCAGCTGTATAGAAGTATGCATATATAATTGTGTACAGGACATAATACTTGATAATGATAAACGACTATGTTACCGGGTTATGTATTTACTATACATAACATATACTATACATATACACTTGTTATTGTTATTTCAGGGTGTTCTCCTTCTGTTTATTAAAAAAAGAAAAGAGAAAGTTAACTGTAACAGCCTCAGGCAGGTCCTACAGGAGGTATCCGGAAGAAGGCGTTGCTATCACAGGAGGGGACAGCCCCATGGCTGTCACTGCCCCTGAAGACCTTCTGGTGGGACGAGACGTGGAGGTGAAGACAGTCATATTAGTGACCCTGATGCTGTGTAGCCTAGGCTAATACGTGCGCTTGTGTCTTAGTTTTCAACAAAAACGTTTAAAAGCAAACAATAAAAACTAAAAATTTTCAAACAGAAAAAAGCTTCTAGAATAAGGATATAAAGAAAGAAAATTTTTTTCTAGAGCTGTACAATTTTTTTTTTTTTTAGGGTAAGTGTTATTTAAAGAGAGAGTGAAGAAATTTAAAAGCATTTACAAAGAAAAAAGTTACAGTAAGTTAAGGTTAATTTACTGTTGAAGAAAGGAGACTATTTTTGATGAAGGTGGCGCAGTCTACGTGTGCGGTGTTTATGCAGACTACAGCAGTGCCCACGAACGTGCCTCACCACCCACCCCCCGACTCACCCAGAGCAATTCTAGCCCTGCAAGCGCCATTCATGGTAAGTGCCCAACGCAACTGCACCATTTTGCATATTTTGTATCGTATTTTCGCTGTCTTTTCTGTGTTTAGATATGTTCAGACACACAAACACTCACCACTGCCTTACAATTGCCTGCGATACTCAGGATGGAAACATGCTACGTGGCTCTGCAGCCCAGGAGCAACGGCTGTTCCGTACAGCCTGGGTGTGCAGCAGGCTACGCTGTCCAGGT